GAGTCGGAACTGACTCGCCAGTACTAAGCAACAGCAACAAACAATCTGGGTAAGGTACTGTGTCAATAAAAAAGAAGATCCTTGATGAGCTGTGACACAGTGGCTGCAACAGTGGGCTCAAACACAACAGTTGTGAGGATGGCACAAGACTGGGCAATGTTGTGTTGTACACAGGCGCACCGTGAGTCAGAACACACTCGATGGCACCTAATAATGAGCAGTCTTAAGCAACCGCACAAGTGTTTCCTTTGGAGAAAACACTAAGCCCTCTCTGCAGTTTCCTTCCTATGTCCCAGATGATGTGCTAAATACGTAACCCAGACTGTCCTGTTTGATCCTTATAACAATCCAGTGAGGTAGGCATCATGATGATCCCCATTATACAGATAGAGAAACGGAGGCATAAAGAAGTAATTTGCCCAGTCTTTGGTGGAAAATGGCAGTGCTGGGATGTGAATACAATTTCTTTCTCTCAAGGCTCCAGTTCTTAAATATTATTCTGTTATGCCTTCCACCATTACAGACCAGAGCTTCTTTACTGCCTCCCAAGGAATTCACTTTCATGACAGGAAATTAAATGGGCATTTCCTGGGTATGATAAACCCAGATTCAGTAGAGCCTGGTTCACCATGGAGGGCTGTGATATGCCCATCCTGGGTTTTCCATTTACCGGGAGAAAATGGGGGAAGAAGTATATGCTTTAACCAGGTGAAGTGTAAATGTAGTAATCCATGAAGATCCTAGCTAGAAGGGGGGAAGGCTCTAAATAGCTCTAAATATAAAAGCAGAAATTGATTATGGAGTGAAGGAAAGTACCTCTTAGGTGAGATCACATTAAACTTCTTTTGTTAGATCTTATTTACCTAGTTATTGCATTGTTTCAGTTTCGGAGCTCCGCTGCCCTGGAGAATCAGCAGTAAACAATCTCATTTACCCTTGAGTTTGGTCTTCCACAACTGTTTTTTCTAAAAAGATGCCTTGCATGAGTTGACTTTAGCTTTCTGTGTGCTTCTCACAGGGAAAATAGAATTAAGAAAATATACGAGAGGCTTCAAGAAATTTATGGAGAAATGCCATTATTGTTCTATTCCATTTTTCCACTAAATTTTTGAAGCCTTCTGGTAAAAGTTGGTTGGTCAGAGTTGGTCTGGTTTTCCTAGAAACCAAAGCCTGAGACGAAAGTTTTGACACCACTACTTTATTCAGGGGTGAAGTGATTTCCTCTAACTATGTGTAAATCCCGGGTGGTGGTGGTGGTGGTGGTAAATGTGAACCAGTCAGTTCTGACTCATCGCGACCCTGTATAGGGATTCCAAGGAGCAGCTGGTGGGTTTCAACCGCTGATCTGGTGGTCAGCAGTCCAGTGCTAATCCTATAGTGCACTGGGGATAATTTAACAGAGTCTGGGAGAGAGGGATTTAAAAAGAGAAAACCTTAATACAAAGTAATGAAGTTTTTCTTTTACTATCCACAGTCTTGGCCCAGAATTTTTTATGCCGCAAGTCCTTGGGTATGTATGACAATAATAATGATTTTTAAAGTCTGGCTTGGGATGTCTTACAGAGGGGAATAGTGGATGTTATTTATGAAAAATTCTGCTGTGGCCTCTTCCATACTTAAAAATAAACTTGAAATATTTATTTTTCTCTTTACCATAAGAAATAAAATTTATCCCAATAAGGGGGGCTAATTTGGAGTCCTGGTGTGGCATTGTAGGAAAAGCACTGGACTATCACCTGGGTCAGTGGTGCATACCCACCAGCCGCTTCTCAGAAACCCTAGTGACTGCTAACCAGTAGGTTGGCAGTTTGAACCCACCAGCCCATTCCTCAGGAGAAAGATGTGGCAGTTTGCATAGAGAGACTGACTTGAAACCCCATGGGGCAATTCTAATGTCCTGTCACTGTCATTGACTCAGTGCCAACCCTGTATAGGGTGTCTGTGGCTGTAAACCTTTAAGAGAGCAGAAAGCCTCATATTTCTTCTGAGGAGTGGCTGGAGGGTTTGAACTGCTGACCTTGTGGTTTGCAGTTCAGTGCTTATCCTACAGAGTTGCTATGAGTCAGAATCAACTATATCCTCCCCTTTCTTATCCTGAAGTTTATGTAAAAAGAGCTGTGGGAATTACATTGCATGGAAGGAAACCTGGTATCTGGTATCGTAAATAAACCTCTGATTCTGTTAACATTTTGGTTTGGCATAACTTGGACTCTAGATCTACATCACAGAAGAATCCACAGCAGGCTATTAAGCACTGCCCTTTCTTGTATAGCTGATCCTAGAAATCATAAATTCAGCTTGGTTCATGTTTACACCACCTCTTTTCTCCTTCACATCAACAAAATAAAGTGCAATATGTAAATCAAGCAATCTGCAGCATTTCATTTCTGGGTTATCCTTAAAAATATGTTTATAGGGTGTATGTACACTTGAGCCAGGAAGGCATTTTTCATGAAGTATTATCTCAACAAATACATTTAGAAACTAACCTTTGATTTTATTCAAAGACATACTTTAAATTAATTCTTACCTGGTTCTCTTATGTTTATTAAAACTTAAAAGCTGTAATATTTTCTCAATGTATTGCTATGTAAATGTTTTACCTTTCTTAAGTTAACCCAATGGGCAGACCCATTTTCCAGTAAGTTAACCCCTTGTTGTTGTCAGTGCCGTCAAGTTGATTCTGACTCATAGCGACCCTGTATAGGGTTTCTGAGGAGTGGCTGGTGAATTTGAACCACCGACCTTGTGGTCCAGTTCATTATCCCACAATGCCACACCAGGTTAATATCTCTAGATGTTTTTCAAACTGATAACAGTTCCAAATTAGGATGGAAATAATGCTACTGAGTGCAGTAACAAAATACATATTTAATACTCTACTGATAGACTAAGCTCTATATTTTGTTTTGCTTATATTTAAACAAGTGTATAGAGACTTATGAAATAATTATTTTGTCTTCTAGCAAGAGTTTTCCAGACAAAATAGATGCTGTAAAGGTAAGAGTATATACTGTAAACTACTTCTTAGGATGTTTTGGGTCTGTTTTACCCTCAATTCCTATCATGTTTGGCTTTAGTATAAAATTACATGTTGGTCTGGTGGTGGTGATTATGTGTTGTGGACTCAGTTCTGACTCATAGCAACCTTGTATAGGATTTCCAAGGCTGTAAATCTTTACAGGAGTAGAAAGCCTCATCTTTCTCTCATGGAATGGCTGGTAGTTTTGAACTACTGACCTTGAGGTTAGCTGCCCGACTCATAACCACTGTGCTACCAGAGCTCCTACATGTTAGTCAAGATAATGTAAATGTTTAAGGTCCATGAATCAATTATTTTAAGTACCTTCAGCTAGATTAATAAATATAATACTCATTGTTATTTCTACTTTTATTTTAGGTACACAAAAGTAGGCAGTATGAGAAACTGTTAGTGCTTGATCCAAAGGGTAAGTACTTTATTACTTAAAAAGAATGTTTAGCCATAACTGTGTTCTCAATATAAGAAGATATCTACTGGAATGGTTGAGTATAGCTGTATGATTAAAGAAGTATTAAAACGCAGAGATGTCACTTTGAGGATTAAGGTGTGTCTGACCCATGCCAGTCACCTGGCATGTGAAAGCTGGACAATGAATAGGAAGACTAAAAACAACAGATGCATTTGAATTATAATGTCAGTGAAGAATGTTGAATATACCATGGACTGCCAGGAAGAACAAATGTATTTTAGAGAAATTTTTAGTAATTTTTAGTTTTAGTGTATTTTAGTAATTAGATTCTTTATTGTATTATCTGTCTTACAAAAAATGCCTTAATGTTTGCCTATCAAAAATTTACATTAGGAACATCATCACTGATAGAATACTGAGATGGATTTTTTTTCCCCTCTTTTTCAGAAAAAGTAATGTTTGAACCAAATGAAGCAATGTCAGGGTAAGAAGATTATCTTTGATTGCACAGCTGATCTATCACATGCCTTTAAGCAATTAGAATTAGTACAATCATTTGTCATCCAATTAAATTTGAAAGGCCAGAAATGCTTGGGTTAGCACATTATCTCTTGCTTTAGTCAAAGCAAGGGTTACTTAGATAGAAGGACATTTAAAATGAAAAATTAATACTGATAAAAATGTAGAAAGTACAGATAATATTCACATCTACTTTTTTTTTTTTTAGTGTTTTATTGTGAATTAT